GGCAGACATGCTGGAAGCAGCCATCTTGGTATACTGGGATCTCTCCACAGTCTTGGCTTTGCTGCTCTGTATCTTCTCTGTCCATCCTCAGGGACTTCTGCAGGGTCATCAGAGAAGGCAAACTTGTCTGCTCTCAGGGGTGACTCCATGTGTTGAATGAACCTCAAGGTTCCATATTCACCCTCAACCCCCTGGCTGGTTGCCACTGGTGATTCCACAGCCTGACATGGGGGGAGAGAGACACTGATGTAGATGGAGCCGGGTCATCCATCACCTGGGGCTGCTGATCCACAGAGCTCACTGATGTCTGGCTGGCAAAAATCTCTTCTCATTATCAAACTTTTCTTTAAATGCTCCACTTCTGGCTTTCAACTTTTCTAATAATAAAGATTGTTTCTTTACTTTCTCCTCCATGTGCTGGAGCGCTGGCTTCATGCCCAATCTGTTCTTGCTCCAGGCCTGGCAGTATTTGGCTCTGAAGGATTTGTGTTCAGATTTTACCACAATAAGTTTCTCCTCAGCTCTTCCAATAGTCACCAATCTATCAGTAATCTTCTGCCTGAAGACATTGACATCCTCACCAGGGCTGGGACCCACAGTCAGGTCCTCCACCTCCTCCTCTTCACTAGGCCCGGTCTCATCAGGGGAATCCCTCCCAGGGCCTCCCCCTGGATCAGGCATGGTTCCTGGGCCAAGCTAGCAGGCAAGGCCCAGGCTTGAAAACGCTGGTTCTCAGGGAGAGCTCCTTCAGTGTGTCCTCCTCCTTCTCCCACTGACACCAATGTAAGGGACATTCTTCCCACTGATCACCAATGTAAGGGACATTCTTCCCACTGATCCCCAATGTAAGGGACATTCTTCCCACTGACCACCAATGTAAGGGACATTCTCCCCACTGACCTCCAATGTAAGGGACATTCTTCCCACTGACCACCATGTAAGGGACATTCTTCCCACTGACCCCCAATGTAAGGGACATTCTTCCCACTGACCCCCAATGTAAGGGACATTCTTCCACTGACCAACAATGTAAGGGACATTCTTCCCACTGATCACCAATGTAAGGGACATTCTTCCCACTGATCCCCAATGTAAGGGACATTCTTCCCACTGACCCCCAATGTAAGGGACATTCTTCCCACTGACCCCCAATGTAAGGGACATTCTCCCCACTGACCCCCAATGTAAGGGACATTCTTCCCACTGACCCCAATGTAAGGGACATTCTTTTTACAGACCCCTAATGTAAGAAGCAATATTTCCACTGACCCCAATGTAAGGGACATTCTTCCCAAAGACCACCAATTTAAGGGGGCATACTTCCCACTGACCCCAATGTAAGGAGCATTTTCTCACTGACTACCGATGTAAGGAGCATTCTTCCCACAGACCCCCCCCAATGCAGGGGCATTCTTCCCAGTGACCACCAATGTAAGGGACATTCTTCCCACTGACCAACAATGTAAGGGACATTCTTCCCACTGACCATCAATGTAAGGGGCATTCTTACCACTGACCATCAATGTAAGGGGCATTCTTACCACAGACCCCCAATGTAAGGAGCATTCATCCCACTGACCATCAATGTAAGGGACATTCTTCCCACTGACCATCAATGTAAGGGGCATTCTTCCACACAGACCCTCAATGTAAGGAGCATTCTTCCTACAGACCCCTAATGTAAAAAAAGCAATATACCCACTTACCATGCAGTCAATGTGTTTTAACATGGGTTCCCCAAGACCTGAAAAAAATTACTTCAAAGGTTCCTCTGGGGTAAAAAGTAAGAAAGGGTGGGCCGGTTGTATATGAGATTGTGTTATAGTGTATTTACTGTCTAGCCAAACTTTTTTCATAGTTCACAGTCATTTTGTATTGTAGTGACAACTGTAGTTGTGCATAGTAGCTGTGAACTGGGGAGGGGATCAATGGGTTCCTTGAGAATATATGGCCAAAGTCTGTGGACACCTAACCATCAGTATGTGGCCAACTTTATGTGAACACTACTTGAAATGATTGAGTTTAAGTGTTTCCAGTGAAGTATTCTCTTAATACTATAACATACACACATGTTTTAGACAATTGTGCACTCCCAACCTTGAGGCAATAGTTTTTGGAAGGCCCTTTGCTATTGGTGGTCACTGGGCATTCTTCCCAGTGACCACCAATGTAAGGGACATTCTTCCCACTGACCAACAATGTAAGGGACATTCTTCCCACTGACCAACAATGTAAGGGACATTCTTCCCACTGACCATCAATGTAAGGGGCATTCTTACCACTGACCTATTTCAGCCATTGTCAACCAGAGTTCTGTGGAACCATAAGGTTCCTCTAGAGGTTACTAGGTGCTCCTTGAGTTGTGACTGAGTAACCTACCATTTGATGGTGCTTGCTTAATTCCAGTGCCACATAGCAGAGCCAGCTGTAAGACACCAGTGATCTTTGTAGCTGTCTGTAAGTGTTGAATTCTGACCACCAATGTATGAAGCGTTCTTCCTACAAACCCCCAATGTTAGGAGCATTCTTCCCACTGACCATCAATGTAAGGGACATTCTTACCACTGACCATCAATGTAAGGGACATTCTTACCACTGACCACCAATGTAAGGGACATTCTTCCTGCTGACCACCAATGTAAGGGACATTCTTACCACTGACCACCAATGTAAGAGATATTCTTCCCACTGACCACCAACGTAAGGGGCGTTCTTCCCACTGACCACCAATGTAAGGGACATTCTTCCCACTGATCACCAATGTAAGGAGCATGCTTCCCACTGATCACCAATGTAAGGGACATTCTTCCCACTGACCACCAATGTAAGGGACATTCTTCCCACTGACCCCAATGTAAGGGACATTCTTCCCACTGACCACCAATGTAAGGGACATTCTTCCTGCTGACCACCAATGTAAGGGACATTCTTACCACTGACCACCAATGTAAGAGATATTCTTCCCACTGACCACCAACGTAAGGGGCGTTCTTCCCACTGACCACCAATGTAAGGGACATTCTTCCCACTGATCACCAATGTAAGGAGCATGCTTCCCACTGATCACCAATGTAAGGGACATTCTTCCCACTGACCACCAATGTAAGGGACATTCTTCCCACTGACCCCAATGTAAGGGACATTCTTCCCACTGATCACCAATGTAAGAGACATTCTTCCCACTGACCATCAATGTAAGGGACATTCTTCCCACTGACCATCAATGTAAGGGACATTCTTACCACTGACCACCAATGTAAGGGACATTCTTCCCGCTGACCACCAATGTAAGGGACATTCTTACCGCTGACCACCAATGTAAGGGGCATTCTTTCCACAGACCCCCAATGTAAGGGACATTCTTACCGCTGACCACCAATGTAAGGGACATTCTTACCACTGACCACCAATGTAAGGGACATTCTTACCACTGACCACCAATGTAAGGGACATTCTTACCGCTGACCACCAATGTAAGGGGCATTCTTTCCACAGACCCCCAATGTAAGGAGCATTCTTCACACTGATCACCAATGTAAGGAGTTCCACTGACCCCAATGTAAAGGGAATTCTTCCCACAGACCACCAATTTAAGGGGCATACTTCCCACTGACCCCAATGTAAGGAGCATTTTCTCACTGACTATCGATGTAAGGAGCATTCTTCCCACAGACCCCCAATGCAGGGGCATTCTTCCCAGTGACCACCAATGTAAGGGACATTCTTCCCACTGACCAACAATGTAAGGGGCATTCTTACCACTGACCACCAATGTAAGGGGCATTCTTCCCACTGACCCCAATGTAAGGGGCATTCTTCCCACTGACCACCAATGTAAGGGGCATTCTTCCCACTGACCATCAATGTAAGGGGCATTCTTCCCACTGACCATCAATGTAAGGGGCATTCTTCCCACAGACCCTCAATGTAAGGAGCATTCTTCCTACAGACCCCTAATGTAAAAAGCAATATACCCACTTATCCATGCAGTCAATTGGTTTTAACATGGGTTCCCCAAGACCTGAAAAAATTTACTTCAAAGGTTCCTCTGGGGTAAAAAGTAAGAAAGGGTGGCCGGTTGTATATGAGATTGTGTTGAAGTGTATTTACTGTCTAGCCAAACTTTTTCATAGTTCACAGTCATTTGTATTGTAGTGACAACTGTAGTTGTGCATAGTAGCTGTGAACTGGGGAGGGGATCAATGGGTTCCTTGAGAATATATGGCCAAAGTCTGTGGACACCTAACCATCAGTATGTGGCCAACTTTATGTGAACACTACTTGAAATGATTGAGTTTAAGTGTTTCCAGTGAAGTATTCTCTTAATACTATAACATACACACATGTTTTAGACAATTGTGCACTCCCAACCTTGAGGCAATAGTTTTTTTTGAAGGCCCTTTGCTGTTCCAGCATGGCTGTCCATCTGTGCACAGACTCAGCACCATAAAGACATAGTATAACCAGTCTGGTGTGGAAAAACGTGAGTGGCTTGCACAGAACCCTGACCTTAGCCCTACTGAACACCTTCCACATGGGTAAGAAATGGGTAAATCCTCTCACCTGACATCAGTACCTGACCTCACAAATGGCATATTCCCACAGACACACTCCAAAATCTTGTGGAGAGCGTTCTCCAAAGAGTTGGCTGTTCGAGCCACAAGAGATTCAACACCATAATAATATCCATGATTTTGGAATGGGTTGCTAACAAATTCCTATAGATGTAGTGGTCAGATGTCCAGACTTTTGTACGTATTTTTGTCTTTCTTGACTTTCAAGTTGACTTTCTCATTGGCATCCTCCAGTATTCAGAATACCGGAGGATGCCAATGAGAAAGTCAACTGGCTAACAGCCATGCAGATGATGTATCAGTTGTGTTTGGAGCTGATCTTTGATTTGACAGAGGGGGAGTTAGCAATAATGTTTGCATTATTTGTATATAATGTTGCACTTAACTATTTGTAGATCTTCATCTGTGGCATATGTTTGACTGCAGGTGAGGCATCTCTACATCACCAATGAGCTACAAGGCTGTCCTTTAGAGAGAGTGAGTTCCATCAGGAGGTCGGTCAATCTAAGCCGCCATGGTAAGCAAGAGCCTGTACCCACCTTCAAGCCTTACTTTGACTCTGCTTTTTCCTGAGACTCAGCCAATGGCCTTCTCTCCTTGTCCCATCAGAGTCCGACGTTAGACCCAACAAACTTTTGACATGGTGTCAGAAGCAGACGGAGGGCTACCGGAATGTAAATGTCACAAACCTGACCAGCTCCTGGAGAAACGGCTTGGCCCTGTGCGCCATCATTCACCATTTCCGGCCGGATCTTCTGTAAGTTGCTCACAGTGGGCATTTATGCGTTGCAGCCTTCTTGGCTCTGGAGTGCCATATGAGACATTAGTTTATATAAAGGGGCAGTAGGAGGGTTAATGAGCAGACAATAGGTAGAGCACACATCCGTAGAAACTGTAGTCCTGATCCATCTATTCTTTGCAAATGTGTCTATGGTGAACATGTGGGTTGATATTTTTGGGGTTGGTGTCCCTATAAATGAAATGAGGGAGACAACAGCCAATAAGAAAAAATAAAATAACAGCGCAAAACATAGACCTCTACATAAAATCAAAAAAGTGCAAAAAAAATTTTTTGTAAAACAAAATACAATTTAAATGGTGCAGTCCATCAAATTCTTATATAAATAGTGAAATCCATCAAAATAAACTAAAGTTCAAAAATATTCAAAAATATATGTGCAAAAAAAAAGAAAAAAAGAAAGAAATCTTTTCACATTCTTCTTGTAAAGAAACTTCCACCTTCCACCCGTGAAAACCAATATCAAATGCACTCACCAGATATAGGTGAATAAAACGCCTTTTAGGAATTTTATGGGATCCTACACCCTCTTTCGTATCCACTCTATAGGAATCCTCTCCTCCAAACATGGGCTCCACCATCCGACCAGGGAGAAAAAAAATCTCAAATAGTGTGATATTGTAAGACACCATTTCATATGTGAAATCAAGGATTAAGGCCACTCACATTAATTTCACTTTAAAAAGGCATATTTATTAAGGCAAGCTTCTCTCCAGATAAACAGTAGATGCAAGGTAACCTCTCACAGAATCTCACATCACAGTCCCAGGTTCCAGCAGAAGCTCCACAGAGACCACACATATATAAATCCCACAAAGATGGCCGCTGGAACGCACCACTCAGCGTGCGCTCCACTCACCGGAAGTGACGTCGGACATGCAAAATAAAACCGGAAATGTGTCAACGCGTTTCGCCCCTCCCACAGGGCGTTCTCAAGACCTACCCTGGTCTTGAGAACGCCCTGTGGGAGGGGGGCGAAACGCGTTGACACATTTCCGGTTTTATTTTGCATGTCCGACGTCACTTCCGGTGAGTGGAGCGCACGCTGAGTGGTGCGTTCCAGCGGCCATCTTTGTGGGATTTATATATGTGTGGTCTCTGTGGAGCTTCTGCTGGAACCTGGGACTGTGATGTGAGATTCTGTGAGAGGTTACCTTGCATCTACTGTTTATCTGGAGAGAAGCTTGCCTTAATAAATATGCCTTTTTAAAGTGAAATTAATGTGAGTGGCCTTAATCCTTGATTTCACATATGAAATGGTGTCTTACAATATCACACTATTTGAGATTTTTTTCTCCCTGGTCGGATGGTGGAGCCCATGTTGGAGGAGAGGATTTCCTATAGAGTGGATACGAAAGAGGGTGTAGGATCCCATAAAATTCCTAAAAGGCGTTTTATTCACCTATATCTGGTGAGTGCATTTGATATTGGTTTTCACGGGTGTGGAAGGTGGAAGTTTCTTTACAAGAAGAATGTGAAAAGATTTCTTTCTTTTTTTCTTTTTTTTTTGCACATATATTTTTGAATATTTTTTGAACTTTAGTTTATTTTGATGGATTTCACTATTTATATAAGAATTTGATGGACTGCACCATTTAAATTGTATTTTGTTTTACAAAAAATTTTTTTTGCACTTTTTTGATTTTATGTAGAGGTCTATGTTTTGCGCTGTTATTTTATTTTTTCATATTTTGTGTTGTTCCACAGCAGCAGGATAGTACCTGTAGTAGAGTGTCTCACTAGGCGCAGGAAGATATCTTATAACAGCCAATAAGAGGTCTGCCCATATAGACAATGTGTATTGGCTTGGAGTTTGTTTTACTATAGAGGAAGCAAAATGCAGAAAGATGTCATTAAAACTCAATGAAGACCCTATACAAAAATGTAAAGGGAAACTGCAATGGATTGTGGTCAATTTTATTTATTTATTTAAGTTCATAAGTTTTTAAAACAATTTATATCTGATTTTTTTTTTTTGCTTTGTATATGATCATTTTTGCAAATATAAATTTAATACATGACAAAGCATCACCAGAGAACTAGGGGATGGCTAAAGGGAGAGCACATGAGCTAATGATCTCAGGATAGATTACCATGTGAAAGGGAGCCTAAAGCTCCACCTGCTGGCTTAAAGAGAGAATACTAAATGTTTAGGATCAAACATAAAGTTAATACCTTAGGTTTCAATTTTTTTATGTCCTGACTGGAAAGGGTAAAAGAGAGGAGGAGAGTGATTCTGGCAAATGATTGGGACAGGTTTCAGTTGCGTCTCTCCATATCAGTAGCCGCCTTATGGCATTGAGAATGACCACTTGACTATCTTCTTTATTTGTTCATAAAATTGAACCTGCAGTTTTCAAATTGATCTGTGAGTTCCACCCAAAACCATATACATTGTCCTAAATATTCTTCTTTTTTTCTACCTTCTTTCAATTTTTTAATATGGTTATTTATACTAAATGTTCAATGAAGGGCCCATCTTCTGACACTTTTTTTTCCCCCACAAGCGACTTTGACTCTTTGAACGAGGATGACGCTGTCAGGAACAACCAGCTGGCCTTTGATATTGCCGAGAAGGAATTTGGAATCTCTCCAATCACTACGGCCAAGGAGATGGCATCCAATGAGGAACCCGATAAGCTTAGCATGGTCTTGTACCTCTCCAAGTTCTATGAATTATTCCGAGGAGCCCCGCTGAGGCCTGTTGGTACGTAGCTCTGCTTGACTATGAATGACCTGAGTTCTCTGGCAAAGAAAGGTTATTTTGTATTACGTTTCTCTACATAGCTGAGCTTAAACATTGCTATCTTAAAACAGAAGATATTTGCATGTTGCTGTTACAAATCCAAAGACAATTCTTTGTTAATGTAAAGTAGGAAAAGCCATGCAAATCATTCGTTTATGTCCTTGTAATCAGCTGTGCTTCCAAAACTTGTGTTTGTGTTATCCCCAGATACATCCTACGTATAGAGCAATTCAGCCAACTGTACATCCAGAGCCTCTGGATTTTAGACCAGATACTTTCTAAATGTAGAGCCATTTTTCCAACTGTCCATCTTGAGCCACTTGTTTAAAGACAAGATACTTCCTCAATGTAGAACCATTTATCCGACTGTCCATCCAGAGCCTCTGGATTATAGACCGGATACATCCTAACTATAAAGCCATTTATCCAACTGTCCATCTTGAGCCACGAGTTTATAGATTAGATACATCCTCAATGTAGAGCTATTTATCCAACTGTCCATCCAGAGCCTCTGGTTTATAGACCGGGTACATCCTAAATATAGAACCTTTTATCCAATTGTACATCCAGAGCCTCTGGTTTATAGACCAGATACGTCTTCAATGTAGAACCATTTATCTGACTGTCCATCCAGAGCCTCTGGTTTATAGACCAGATACATCCTAAATGTAGAGCCATTTATCCGACTGTCCATCTTGAGCCATGAGTTTATAGACTAGATACATCCTCAATGTAGAACCATTTATCCGACTGTCCATCCAGAGCCTCTGGTTTATAGACCAGATACATCCTAAATATAGAGCCATTTATCTGACTGTCCATCCAGAGCCTCTGGTTTATAGACCAGATACATCCTAAATGTAGAACCAGTTATCAAACTGTCCATCCAGAACTTCTGGTTTATAAACCAGATACATCCTAAATGTAGAACCAGTTATCCAACTGTCCATCCAGAACCTCTGGTTTATAGACCAGATACATCCTACATATAGAGCCATTTATCCAACTGTTCATTCAGAACTGCTGGTCCAGGCCCTGTCCTCAATTTTGATATATATTATTTAATTGGGTGGTGTGCTTGTTCATTTTCGGAAAGTGAACTTGGGGAGTATTATTTGGCTCTGGAGTCTTGCCTTACTTCTCGTCTGCCCTTCTTCCATCTGCTGTACTCTTGCCTTTGTATGTTCACAGTTTCTTCACGCAAGGATAATGAGAATAATGGGGAAGCGTTGTCTTCAAAGCCATCAAACTTGATATTGAACAATTACCTCAACTTAACATTACCAAGAAAGAGAGTGCCAAAGGTGAGAAACCGAATAACTTTTGTAATAAATTTACTTAGAATATGGAGTAACTACAACAGGAAATCTGTTAATAATTACATTGTTAAAGGCAATGCAACATGAGTCAGAGAGAGAAAGCAGAGACATTGAGAGCAAGATTCTTCAGTTTTTTTTGTATCTGCAGCTCTGTTGGTGTCCCCTATTCCACTAAGATTGACTGGATTACCCATATCAGAACAGCTTAAACTGGTTACATGTCACAGTCTGATTGGACAATCTATGTGTAATCCCTTTTAGGTTATCCATTCAGGGCAGACCAAACATTTGTGGATACATGTCCATAACACCTGTATGAACTTCTTGGAAATCCCATTTCAAAATCATAGACATGCCCTAACCTAAACTTTTTTGGGAAGGATCTTTAAAAAAAAAATAAGTTATACCGGATGCTCTCCAGATTTGTGTCACTCTCATCCTTATGCATGTTTCGGACTACGCTAGAGGACCTCAAGGATACCCCAGGTGACAGAGAGCTACCTCCAAAATTTGGATTTCATGTTTTATTTCTTCTACTGGGGACCTCTCTGTTGGTTTAGAGCTATATCAACATTTCCTTTGTCATTCAACCAAAGGAGCATATGTGAAATCACTTACTTGTTGCATGAGAAGACCTTACTTACAAACCTTGGATTTTGGATTTCATATTTGATTTCTTCTATCAAGGGCCTATGCTACTTGACAAATCCAGCTGCATTACAGCAATGATCCTTTTAGTTGCCTGTGAGAGTGCCATTTTGACCACCACTGTATGGTCATTTTTTTATCTGTTGACCAATCGTTTTGAGAATAATAAATCTATCCTGGACTTTTACCACTATAAGGGGGGCATTTTCCCACTAACCACCAATGTATGGGACATTTTTTTCAAAATTTGGATTTCATGTTTGATTTCTTCTGTTGGGGACCTCTCTAATGGTTTAGAGCTCCATCAACGTTTCCTTTGTCATTCAACCAAAGGAGCATATGTGAAATCACTCACTTGTTGCATGAGAAGACCTTACTTACAAACCTTGTTCCATATCATCCCAAAGTTGTTCAGTGAGGTTGAGGTTAGAGCTCTTTGCAGGCCAGTCAAGTTTCTCCACAACTAACAGGTCAAACTACGTCTTTATGGAGCTGGCTTTGCAGAGAAAAGGCACAACGCTGGAACAGGAAAGTAAAGGAATGTCCTTATAAATACAGGGTTGAGAACATAGTCCTTTGTAGACCAGTTAGATTCCTCAACATCAAACTGGTCAAAGCATGTCTAAATACAAGGTGGAGGTCTGAGCTATTTGCTAGTCACTAAAATTCCTCCACGCCAAATTGGTCAAACTGTGTCTTTATGGAGCTGGCTTTGTACATAGGGGCACAGTCGTGCTAGAACAGAAAAGTTGGAGGAGTGTCCATATAAATACAGGGTTAGGTGTCAGAGCCCTTTGCAGATCAGTTAGATTCTTCAACACCAGACTGGCCAAACAATGTCTTTATGGAGATGGCTTTGTGAATGGGTACGCTCATGCTGAAACAGAAAAGTTGGAGGAGTTTCCACATAAATACAAAGTGGAGGTCAAGGCTCTTTGCAAGTCACTAAAATTCCTCCACAATAAACTGGTCAAACCATGTCTTTATGGAGCTGGCTTTGTACATAGGGGCACAGTCATGCTGGAACAGGAAAGTTGGAGGAGGGTCCACATACGTTTGGCCATATAGTAGGTGTGATTGTCAGGTGTCTACAAAGCTTTGGCTGTATAGTGTGTATCCAGTTTGGTAGGTTTTGCATAACATTGCTGTTGGTAGGTCTATAGAACTGTAGGCTCTTTGACCAGTGTATAGGACAGCCATTATTAACCAGGGTTCTGTGGAACCCTAAGGGTTCCTTAAGAGGTTGCTAGGGATTCCTTGAGCTGTGGTCAATTTACCGCCTATTTGAAGGTGTCTGCCCAATTCTAGGGCCTATGCTACTTGACGGATCCAGCTGCATTACAGCAATGATCCTTTTAGTTGCCTGTGAGAGTGCAATTTTGACCACCACTGTATGGTCATTTTTTTTATCTGTTGACCCATCGTTTTGAGAATAATAAATCTACAGTTGCAAGAAAAGGTATGTGAACCCCTTGGGATTACGTGGAGTTTTGCATGAATTGGGCATAAAATGTGCTCTGAACGTCATCTAAGTCACAACAATAGAAGAACACAGTCTGCTGAACATAATACTACACAAACATTAGATGTTGCCATGGTTTAATTGCACATAACATGTAAACATTCACAGTGCAGGGAGGAAAAAGTATGTGAGGCCCTAGCTTAATGACTTTTCCCAAGCTAATTGGAGCCAGGAGTGAGCCAACCTTGACTCCAATCAGTGTGATGATATTGGATGTGTTGCTGACAGCTGTCCTGCCCTTAAAAAACACACACCTGTTTTGGGTTTACTGGTTTCAAGAAGCACTGTCTGATGTGAACCATGCCTCGCAGAAAAGAGCTCTCAGAAGACCTAAGATCAAGAATTATTGACTCGCATGAATCTGGAAAGGGTTACAAAAGTATCTCCAAAAGCCTTGATGTTCATGTGTCCACGGTAAGACAGACTGTCTACAAATGGAGAAAGTTTAGCACTGTTGCTACTCTCCCTAGGCGTGGTCGTCCTGTAAAAATGACTGCAAGAGCACAGCGCAGAATGCTGCATGAGGTAAAGAAGAATCCCAGAGTGTCAGCTAAAGACCTACAGAAATCTCTGGCACATGCTAACATTTTTGTTGACACATCTACAATAAGGAAAACATTAAACAAGAATGGAGTACATGGGAGGACACCACGGAGGAAGCCATTGCTGTCCAAAAAGAAGATTGCAGCACGTTTGAAGTTTGCAAAAGAGCACCTGGATGTTCCACAGCACTACTGGCAAAATATACTGTGGACAGATGAAACCAAGATTGAGTTGTTTGGGAAGAACACACAACACTATGTGTGGAGAAAAAAAAGGCACAGCACACCAACATAAAAACCTCATCCCTACTGTGAAACATGGCGGAGGGAGCATCATGGTTTGGGGCTGCTTTGCTGCCTCAGGGCCTGGACGGATTGTTGTCATTGATGGGAAAATGAATTCCAGAGTTTATCAAGACATTTTGCAGGAAAACGTACGACCATCTGTCCGCCAACTGAAGCTCCGCAGAGGATGGGTGATGCAACAGGACAATAACCCAAAGCATACAAGTAATTCAACAAAACAATGGCTGCAACAGCACAGAATACGCCTTCTGGAGTGGCCCAGTCAGAGTCCTGACCTCAACCCGATTGAAATGCTGTGGCATGACCTTGAGAGAGCGATTCACACCAGAGATCCCAAGAATATTGCTACACTGAAACAGTTTTGTGAAGAGGAGTGGTCCAAAATGACTCCAGTTCGTTGTGCAGGTCTGATCTGCAACTACAGGAAACGTTTGGTTGAGGTTATTGCTGCCAAAGGAGGGTCAACCAGTTATTAAGTCCAAAGGTTCACATACTTTTTCCTCCCTGCACTGTGAATGTTTACATGTTATGTGCAATGAAACCATGGCAACATCTAATGTTTGTGTAGTATTATGTTCAGCAGACTGTGTTCTTCTATTGACTTAGATGACGTTCAGAGCACATTTTATGCCCAATTCATGCAAAACTCCAAGTAATCCCAAGGGGTTCACATACGTTTTCTTGCAACTGTATACTGGACATTTACCACTATAAGGGGTGGCATTTTCCCACTAACTACCAATGTAAGGGGCATTTTTCAGCACTGGTCGCCAATGTAAGGGGCACTTATCCCACTGGCCACCAACACAAGGGACTTTTTTCCCTCTGAACACCAATGTAAGGATCATTTTCCCACTGACCCCAAATGAGTTGATTTTTGCACAGGTTTCCCAAGCCCTGGAATAAGGTTCCTGTGGGGTAAAAAAGGTTGAGAGAGGCTGGTACAGGACATTTCTAGTGTAAGTTCAGTAGCTTGGTCAGTCTCTATCCTGTAGCACAATGGAGATAACATAATGTACATAATATTTCTCCAAGCGGATTATATTCGACAGCTGTTCCGAATCTCATTAGGCCTCCCGTATATTGCAATATAATGTAATCCTAGATAAATAAATCCTAGATCAGTCACTCCAGCACGGGAGGAAACATCCTTTTGAAATTCGCTTTAAACAAATGCCTCCTCCGTTCTTTTTCACCCTCGTACTCTTCACAACGCCCAACGAAGGTCAGACGCTGCGGTGAGCAGCTGGAATGACAAACCTTTCATCTGACAAAGTGCGCTAATGAGGGGAGATAAGTCCAAACGTTCTCATATGGATGTCATCACAAAAATCCATGGCAACAAAACACAGGATCTCCACGTCCCGACAACATGATGTCATCTAATTACTCTGCATCGAACTCAATTTAGATTACCTTCTGTAGTTAATTGTTCGGGACGCTGCGGAACGCAGCCGGTTGAGAAACCTAAGCCTTTTTTTCCCCTATATGTCCCAGAAATTTACCAGATTCGTCATTTGTCTGCACTCCCACTCCTCGGAATTAAACAATGTATCGGAGTTGGGTTGGAATCCATCACGAAACGCTTATCTCATGAACGGAGCTGCGTGCAACGATCAGAAAGCCCCCCTCTTCCTTCGTCTTGCTCGCTCGTATATTAATGCCTCGCACTCAACTTAAGAACACTTAAAGTACAACGCTAGCACGTGTCGACGTAATGTGGCCCACGTGGGCTGAAGAGGCCCGGCAATTATTCTGGCATCACCCGGGCAGAATTAAATTCAGATTCAACCTCGTTTTATTTTGTCTGCATGTATTAATTTATTTCTTGGGTAGAATAGGAAATAAAACTGCGCAGATGTTTATTTTCTATTAAGTAACAAATTTTGTATAATTTCTAGAAGTTCATCTAACTTGTGTTCAGGCCGTAACTAGTTGTGATGGGGCCCCATTGCAAAACCATTTAGGGGCCACCTGTCTCAGTATTTCCTCTAGTGATACAGAAAAGTAATTGCTTTTCTAGCTTTTTTCTATACTATAGCCGAGTTTGTATCTAAGCATGTTTAGGGCCCCTATGATTCTGGGCCCTATAACAGTTGCAAGGGTATCTGCCAAATGTTACTGTTGCTGGCATAAGCCATTGTGTAGTCAGTCAGTTTTTGGCCCCTGTGCTTCAGGGCCCCATAGTAATTGCAAGGTCTGCCAAAATTGCAAGGGTATCTGGCAAATGCTACTGCTGCCGGCATAAGCCATTGTGTAGTCAGTCAGGTTTGGGCCCTGTGCTTCAGGGCCCCATAGTAATTGCAAGGTCTGCCAAAATTGCAAGGGTATCTGGCAAATGCTACTGCTGCCGGCATAAGCCATTGTGTAGTCAGTCAGTTTTTGGCCCCTGTGCTTCAGGGCCCCATAGTAATTGCAAGGTCTGCCAAAATTGCAAGGGTATCTGGCAAATGCTACTGCTGCCGGCATAAGCCATTGTGTAGTCAGTCAGGTTTGGGCCCTGTGCTTCAGGGCCCCATAGTAATTGCAAGGTCTGCCAAAATTGCAAGGGTATCTGTCAAATGCTACTTCTGCCTGCATAAGCCATTGTGTAGCCAGCAAATGTGGGCCCCTATGCTTCAGGGCCCCATAGTAATTGCAAGGTTTGCCAAAATTGCAAGGGTATCTGGCAAATGCTACTTCTGCCTGCATAAGTCATTGTGTAGTCAGTCAGTTTTGGGCCCCTGTGTTTTAGGGCCCCATAGTAATTGCAAGGTCTTCCAAAATTGCAAGGGTATCTGTCAATGCTACTGCTGCCTGCATAAGCCATTGTGTAGCCAATAAATTTGGGCCCCTATGTTTCAGGGCCCCATAGTAATTGCAAGGTCTGCCAAAATTGCAAGCGTATCTGTCAAATGCTACTGCTGCCTGCATAAGCCATTGTGTAGCCAGTCAATTTTGGGCCCCTGTGCTTCAGGGCCCCATAGCAGTTGCATTTTTGCTATGACTATAGTTAAGCCCTTGGCTGTGTTTAGACACAATCACTGGCCTGCAATACGTATGCAGCATGCAAAGTTAGAATTCCTCTTCTCTGCATTTGCCGTGGGTCAGTGATTTAGAAAGTATTCGGCAGGGGATCAACATGACTGCCAGACAACTAGCATTTTCGAAGCAGGAATGCAAGTTTTTGGTCATTTTTATCAAAACCCTAATCCCAGTCAAAGTCTCATATCGCATGTTAATGTCATTAACTTTCAATATTTGTGATCTGCGACTTTAATTAAAATATTCCCAACCATGATTTTCCTTGTTCAGGGACTTCCTGTTATGTGGTGACAATGCTCTGTCCCTGTCTCCCAGTTGTGTTCTTGTGTTGTCACTGGACTACTCAGGCTTTTGATGGGGAGTATATAGTACTGCTCAGCATTATAGCTCCATCGCAGTGTGAACAGGATGCATAGATTAATAGTGTGCCCTTGCGATTAATGGTGTTGATCAGATTCAGGAAAACACCAGTCACCACACCAAGTGTGAGCAAGTCCTTGACGTTCTACAGGTTACAAAGCAATGGCTGGATACAATGATAGCAAAGGACTTGGGGTTGGCCAAGAGTGGAATTTCTGGCCAGAGACACTACCCAAAATCACCTTGTAGGTACTTCAAAATCAAAAAGCAGATAAGTAAAAATAAAAAAAAGGGCGCAATGATGGGATGAGATGTCTGTGAAGGATGGGGATACTTGACCACATATGGGCTCAGTGTATGGCCAGGCTACCCATACATAGGATACTGCAACATCCCAAACTCTGTTGGGTTAACCCAACTGCCAAGTTTTTGTCATATTGAAAAATTACCAAAAATGTAGAGAAGAGTATGAACCATGAGACAAAAATGAAGAAAATGGTGGACCAAGAATAAGATGGGGTACAAGGAGAAAAATAAGACCTTGGGGTAGGGGATCCCTTTAAATTCCTGTTAGGGTAACCCAACTGGCAAGCCATTGTCATACTGAAAAATTATCAAAATGTGAGCCTTAAGACAAAGAAAGAAGAAAAGGGTCAGCAAAATGGTTGTCATTGATAAGATGTGGTACAATTGGGAAAAAAAAAGACCTTGGGGCAAGGGGAGATCTCTTAATTCCTGTTGGGGGTGACCCAACTTGCAAATCATTGTCCTGTTGAAAAATTAACAAAATGTACACAAGAGTATGAACCAGGAGCAAGGATAGAAGAAAAAGGTCAAGAAAATTGTGGGTTTTGGATGGGAAAAGGTTCAGTGTGTGTGTGTGTGGGAGGGGGCTCCATATTTCTGTAGGGGTAACCCAACTGCCAAGTTATTGCCATATTGAAAATTACCAAAGTGTACAGAAATAATATGAGCCATAAGACAAAGCAACAGGTCATGAAAATGGTGGGTCATGGATAGGATGGGGGAAAAGGGGGAAAAAAGGACCATAGGGCCAGGGGGCCCCTCCTAATTCTTGTTGTGGTGACCCTAATTTCAAGTCATTGTCATAGTGAAAAATTACCAAAATGATCAGAAGAAGCTGAGCTTCTTATAAAATAAGAAAAGCAGAAAAGGGTCAAGAAAATGGTGGGCCATTGATGGGAAGGGGTACAAGTGGGGAAAAAAGGAACTTGGGGCAGGAGGAGTCATTCCTGTTGGGGGTAACCCAACTGCCAAGTCATCGTCATATTGAACAATTACCAAAACATAAAGAGGAGTACAGGACATAAGACAAAAGAAGAAAACAAAAGTTCAAGAAAATGATGGGTCATGGATAGGATGGGGTACAAGATGGGAAAAAAAGGACCTCTGGTGAGGGGGAGCCCTTCTGAATTCTTGGAGTATCCCGAAGATATAAAAAAAACAGGTGGATGTTATTTAGTCAATGGAGAGCAATCCAATCATGACATTTTGTACATTTTAATATTTGGATAGTAGCACCCCCGGACAGGTCTTTGCAGCAGATCGATGTTCAGTGGAGTAACTTTCTGTCCTTTGATCTCCCTCCAGAATGAAAACAAGACAGAAGAGAATGATTTGAACAAGAGAAGGAGGAGGACAGCTCAGATATTTGAAGAGGTCGGTGCTTATTAATCGGTGATGACAGCGTCCGTATTATTTTGTGGCTTCCGAGCGAAAACGCAAACGACGGCTGAGCTACGGGCAGATGTTTCTCCAAAATAAATGAGAGCACTTAGTAGCAGCTGGAGCGTGTTATGGCAAATCCAAAGTAATATTATCCATCCTCCCATTCATCATGACGGAGAAATTACTGTCTTTCACCGGGATGATGTCGGTTTTGAGCGTCCAATAATGAATACCATTCCCGCCTGTGTATATTTAACAGCAACTGTACTTTTCCGCTGTTGCCTTCTTCAGAATTCTGATTCTGTGCCACAAGTATGATGGTGACAATATAAAATTGAGCACAGCGTTAAAACCTTAAAATATCATAACCACATGCAGTTGTGTTCAAAATAATAGCAGTGTGTTGAAAAAAGTGAATAAAGCTGAAAATCCTTCTAATAGCTTTTATTTCCATCCACACAAATGCATTGGGAACACGACACATTCTATTCCAATCAAAACAGGAAGAAAAATACATCAAATTTGTGTTGTTCCTCCAAAAAAATTGAAGAAAAGTGAATATTAGACGGTTCAAAAAAATCGCAGTGTTTTGTATTCTTCTTTACAAACTCAAACATTCACTATATAAACTGGGAAATGTTTGAAGATTTTGCTTTCCTTTGAATGACTTCATGAATATTTGGTTGTAGTCGCACTGTTTCTGAGAACTGCTGTACATCTGTGTTGCATGGAGTCCCCCAACTTCTGGCCCCTGTGATCAGGTATTCCAGCCCAGGATGATTGGACCACATTCCACAGTTCTTCTCTATTTCTTGGTTTTGCCTCAGAAACGGCATTTTTGATGTCACCCCACAAGTTTTCTATTGGATGAAGATCCGGGGATTGGGCTGGCCACTCCATAACGTCCATCTTGTTGGTCTGGAACCAAGATGTTGCACGTTTACTGGTGTGTTTGGGGTCGTTGTCTTGTTGGAACACCCATTTCAAGGGCATTTCCTCTTCAGCATAAGGCAGCATGACCTCTTCAAGTATTCTGATGGATTCAAACTGATCCATGATCCCTGGTATGCGATAAATAGGCCCAACACCGTAGTATGAGAAACATCCCCATATCATGATGCTTGCACCACCATGCTTCACGGTCTTCACAGTGTACTGTGGCTTGAATTCAGTGTTTGGGGGTCGTCTGACAAACTGTCTCCACCCACTAGACCCAAAAAGAACAATCTTACTTTCATCAGTCCACAAAATGTTGCGCCATTTCTCTTTAGGCCGGTCAATGTGCTCTTTGGCACATTGTAACCTCTTCAGCACACGTCTTTTTCCAACAGTGGGACTTTGCGGGGACTTCTTGCAGATAGCTTGGCTTCACATTGGCGTCTTCTAATTGTAACAGTCCTCACAGGGAACGTCACACCTTCTTTCATCTTCCTGGAGCTGATTGTTGGCTGAGTCCGCGCCATTTTGGCTATTCTTCTATCCATTCGAATGGTATGTAGTTTTTCACTTTCTTCCGCGTCTTTCAGGTTTTGGTTGCCGGTTTTAAAGCATTTGCCATCATTTTAGCTGAGCAGCCGATCATTTTCTGCACTTCTTTGTATGTTTTCCCCTCTCCAATCAACTTTTTAATCAAGGTACGCTGTTCTTCTGAACAATGTCTGGAACGACCCATTTTCCTCAGAATTTCAGAGAGAAATGCACTGTAATCGGCATGTCCAACATTTGCTGCCTTCCTTCCTTAAATAAGGGCAATAATTGCCACCTGTTTTTCAAAGAATGAATGACCTCACTAATAGAACTCCACACTGCTATTATTTTGAACACGCCCCTTTCAATGAGTGATTCAATGACACAGAATCAGCAGCATGCATGTCATGACTGTTGGGTCTGTTGGATTTCTATGACTCTACTACACCTGCTAGGAAATTATTTACCATGTAGAAATATCATTTCTACCAAAAACAGTGATTGATCCGGTTAGTGATGTCTGACTGCTATTATTTTGAACACAACTGTATGTAAAAAATATATATATCAAATATATAAATGAGAACATTCAATAAAGTGACCAGTGATAAGGTGCTAATATATCAACCAAATACAGTGACTTAGTGGTATCATATAACTGTCACTATGTAGTGACAAATTTTTGCTTATTATAGTGCTAGAAAAATAATTAAAATGTTCAAAGATAAGTGCATGGAAGATCTAATAATCTGAATTGTTGGTCGTCTATCCGGTAATATGGTGATGTGACCAATGGTATAAAGACTGCGCACTCACCAGATGCGCAATCAATAAGCGCATTTAGAGATAACACTCTCAGTAGATGAACTGGAGGCCCCTTTAAAGGTGAGTATGGTCTGGTCTGATGTTCCTTCACTGCTCCCTCCGCTGTCAGCAATGGCTCTGCCACTCCTCTCATGTAGCTCTGGTGATTTGAGGGGAAGCTGGCTCTCCATCATGATGCCCTTTACAGAGTCTTGTGTCCTTCTAATAACTTCAAAATAATCTTGGCTTCAGGTCACCCTCCTCCTCACTTGGCTCACACTCTCCAGCCTCGCCATCAGAACAATTCGGCTACCGTAGCCACAAGACTCTTTAAAGGGCATCATGATGGAGAGCCAGCTTCCCCTCGAATCACCAGTGAGCTTCTAACAATACACAGAGCTACATGAGAGGAGTGGCAGAGCCATTGCTTACAGCAGAGGGAGCAGTGAAGGAACATCAGACCAGACCATACTCACCTTGTGAGTCTCCTTGGGGCCTCCAGTTCATCTACTGAGAGTGTTATCTCTAAAATGCGCTTATTGATTGCGCATCTGGTGAGTGCGCAGTCTTTATACCATTGGTCACATCACCATATTACCAGATAGACCATCAATAATTGAAGATTATTAGATCTTCCATGCACTTATCTTTGGACATTTTTAATTATTTTTCTAGCACTATAATAAGCATCATTGGTCACTACATAGTGACAGAGTTATATGATACCACTAAGCCACTTTATTTGGTTGATATATTAGCACCTTATCACTGGTCATTTTATTGAATATTCTCATTTATATATTTGATATATATATTTTTTACATATGTGGTTATGATATTTTAAGGTTTTAGCGCCGCACCCAATTTTATATTGATGCTTTGGAGGTTTTTTGGTACCTTTTTGGTGTTTCAGCAGCTCAATTGACTTTTAGCGCTCACTTACCTCTCTGTGCTTTCACGATGGTGACAATGTCAGCGCCATTATTTAGTGCCCCCAGCAAATTTTTGCGCACATGCTGCTAAAATCTGCATTTTTGGCTATAAAATTACTTTGGAAGCCGTGGCGCGCAGGATTACTCCACCTGCTTCTTAAAAAGCGTAAATAGTGCCCTCTCAGTCCCCGGCCCCTGCTGCTGAGCTTCCGGGTGTAAGAAAAGAGAGGAGAAAGGCGCCTCTAAGTGTAATCTGTAAAAACTTGATATATTGTACATGAAAGACAGCAACTTACAGGAGGGTAGATAAAAAAGGCACTTCAATATCCATCAATGGGGTTTTAGCCACAGTGAACGGCATAGTGCGCAGTCCAGGATGATGATCTGTCGTCTGTCAGTGTCAGGCATGAGCGCCCGGCAAGATGGAGGAAGTCTGGTTCTGAGGCTTGGAACGCACCGTGGAGCGCAGCATGTGCGTGATGACGTCACCGAGCATCCTGTGACTCTTTCCTGAGCATAAGCTGTGAGATGGCAGTCCTAGCGTGCTCCTTTGTCAAGCTAAGGGTGTTGGAACGGTTTTGTCTGTACTCAGATTGTCATTAATCTACATCCTGCGGGTCCCGCTGAAAATCAATGACAATCTGAGTACAGACAAAACCGTTCCAACACCATCAGCTTGACAAAGAAGTGCGCTAGGACTGCCATCTCACAGCACATGCTCAGGAAACGCGTAGCGCAACGCCTGGTGACGTCATCACGCTCCACGGTGCGTTCCAAGCCTCGGTGCTAGACCTCTTCCATCTTGCAGGTCGCTCATGCCTGACACTGATAGTTCATCATCCTGGACTGCACACTATGCCGTTCACCGTGGCTAAAACCCCATTGGTGGATATTGAAGTGACTTTTTTTTATCTACCCTCCTGTAAGTTGCTGTCTTTCATGTACAATATATCAAGTTTTTGCAGTTTACACTTAGAGGCGCCTTTCTCCTCTCTTTTCTTACATGTATCCTTCTGGACCCAAGCTTCAATCCAGCAAAAGGCTGCCATAGGTGAACAGGACTACAAATAAGATTGTTGGTTATACACCTGTTAGCTTGACAGAACATCCCCTATTTATTATTTTTTTTTTTATCTCTATAACCTGATTGGGTTCCATTTGTTTGGTATTTATTCATAAGTGTTTTTTCCTGCATATTGCTATTTCTTGGTACTCCTATTGTGTTTTTAACCACCTCTACATCATATATAGGTTGTGCTCTTTTCCTTTTGTTTTGCTGAACTGATGGGACCTGGGCCCAGTATATGGTGGGTGGCTCTACACCCTATTATTGCCTTGCCCCCTGCTGAACTGATGGGGCCTTGGCCTAGTACAGGAGGACTGGCTCTACCCCCTATTATTGCCTTTCCCCCTGCAGAACTGATAGGGTCCTGGCTCAGTACAAGAGGGCCGACTCTATTCCCTATTATTGCCTTCCCCCCGCTGAACCGATGGGACCTGGGTCCAGTACAGGGGGAACAGCTCTACCCCCCTGTTATTGCCTTGCCCCTTGCAGAACTGATGGGGCTTGGGCTCAGTACAGGAGGGCTGGCTCTACCCCCTATTATTGCCTTGCCCCCTGCAGAACTGATAGGGCCCTGGCCCAGTACAAGAGGGCCAACTCTATTCCCTATTATTGCCTTCGCCCCGCTGAACCGATGGGACCTGGGTCCAGTACAGGGGGAACAGCTCTACCCCCTGTTATTGCCTTGCCCATTGCAGAACTGATGGGGCTTGGGCTCAGTACAGGAGGGCTGGCTCTACCCCCTATTATTGCCTTGCCCCCTGCAGAACTGATAGGGCCCTGGCCCAGTACAAGAGGGACGACTTTTTTCCCTATTATTGCCTTGCCCCCCGCTAAATTGATGGCCTGGGTCCAGTACAGGGGGAGGCTCTACACCCTATTATTGCCTTGCCCCCTGCAAAACTGATGAGGCCTGTGCCCTGTACAGGAGGGCCGGCTCTACCCCCTGTTATTGCTTTGTCCCCTACAGAACTGATGGGGCCTAGGCCCAGTACAGGGAGATCAGTCCTGCCCCAGATTATTACCTTGCCCTCCGCAGAACTGATTGGGCCTGGGCCCAGTACAGGAGGGACGGTTCTATTCCCTATTATTGCCTTGCCCCCCGCTAAACTGATGAGGTCTGAGCCCAGTACAGGGGGACCGGCTTTACCCCCTATTATTGCCTTGCCCCCTGCAGAACTGATGAGAACTGGGCCCAGTACAGGAGGGCCGTCTCTACCCCATATTATTGCCTTGCTCCCTGCAGAACTGATTGGACCTGGGCCCAGTACAGGAGAGCCGAATCTATTCCCTATTATTGCCTTGCCCTCTACACAACTGATGGGACCTGGGCCCAGTACAGGAGGGCCGTCTCTGCCCCCTGTTATTGCCTTGCCCCCTGCAGAACTGATGGTGCCTGGGCCCCAGTACAAGAGGGCCAGTTCTATTCTCTATTATTGCCTTGCAATAAAGCAAGGGTTCAAAGGAGAGTGAATTCTTGGGAACTTCCCAACAGGAGTACTTTGTAGATAGAGTAAGAGAGGGCTCATAACACACCTGTCAGATATTTTTGCTGTCTGTGTCCTTTGGGGAGATTTACCTTGACTTCTTGTCCCATAGCCAAAAGAGGAAGTGAGAGGAAATCCTTGCAAATTAATGGGATCTTTTGGGGCCCCCAGGTCGCCAGAACTAGTATCCTCATTGGAAGATTTCCCCTCTATTAGTCTTATGAGGACAACCCAGATTTTGGGATTTTCTTTCACTTTCAATGGTAATGGTACACAGGACAAATGGAGAGGGGAATCTCCCTATCGGGGGCATAGACAGCAATAAAAACCTGACGGGGTCCCCATTCCTCTCCACTCTATCCAAAACGTAATAAAAAAGTTTGCCTTTAGCTATAATTTAATCTTTACTTGCATTCCTGGTGCATAATAACAAGGGGCCCTTAGAGAACATTGGACAGTTCCTAAGTTAGTTTTAAGCAGTCTTCATCTCACTTGAACATGGCAACCGTCCTTTATTTACAAATATGAGACGCGTTCTCACGCTGCCTCCCTGCCTGGAATCTTAGAAGTTAGCTTTTTTCGAAATCGGAATGTCTGGTATGCAGAAAGACTTTATCCGGAGCACTTGTGTTTCGTTCCATGATGGGTCCCGTGTTCTGTAGCCACGTTTTTTGCCAGAGGGGGGGCAATGGGGACAGGTAAAAAGGTTCAACAGACGCCGCTTAAAAAATGTCTCATGTCTCGTTTGCAGACGGGAAATTTCGTAAGTGAAAGCATCGGATCTGGGAGCGAATGCAGCGACACCAAGGAGGTCATTAACCAGAACAAAGTCAGGTCAATGGCGACCCAGTTGCTGGCCAAGTTTGAAGAAAACGCACCAAACACGACCATTCGGAGACAGGTAGGACCCTTTACTGTGATGTGGCAATGGCGCCTTTGTGGGGGGTATAATGTTTTCTCTAAAGAACGGTAACGTCACATAAAATATATTTGGAAGGCGTTGATGGAGTGCTGGACTCCACAGAGTGGATAATAAGTGGTCACAATGTTTTTAGAGGCAACTCTTTGTCAATTGGGGTATCATGAAGGGTTCCTGGAGCAGTCTGTGGAGTAGGTAGGACCCATTACTGTGGTGTGGGCAATGGCGCCTTTGTGGGGGGTATAATGTTTTCTCTAAAGAACGGTGACGTCACATAAAATATATTTGGAAGGCGTTGGTGGAGTGCTGGACTCCACAGAGTGGATGAAAATAAGTGGTCACAACGTTTTTAGAGGCAACTCTTTGTCAACCGGGGTATCATGAAGGGTTGCTGGAGGAGTCTGTGGAGTTTTGAAAGGATGAGCACACCACAAAGCTTGGATAAACTCAGGAAGAGTTTTATTTTTTTACCACTCAAAAACAGAAAGCCAACACATTCCGGGGGCTCAAAACTCTCTTCACCAGGGCTGAGAAACACAATAACATAAAATAGCATAAGCTGGGTATTGTAGAATGCAACCACCGATCTGCTGAACAGGCCGAATTTCGATCCGTGTATGGACGACTTTACTATATCTCCTGTCTGAACAGTGTTTATAAACAATGTTACTTTGAATCGCTGTCTCCTGTCTGAACAGCGATTATAAACAATGATACTTTATATATCTCTCTATCTCCCATCTGATCAATGTTTATAAACAATGTTACTTTGTATCTCTCTATCTCCCTTCTGATAAATGTTTATAAACAATGTTACTTTGTATCTCTCTATCTCCCCTCTGATAAATGTTTATAAACAATGTTACTTTGTATCTCTCTATCTCCCCTTCTGATAAATGTTTATAAACAATGTTACTTTGTATCTCTCTATCTCCCCTCTGATCAATGTTTATAAACAATGTTACTTTGTATCTCTCTATCTCCCCTCTGATAAATGTTTATAAACAATGATACTTTATATATCTCTCTATCTCCCCTCTGATCAATGTTTATAAACAATGTTACTTTGTATCTCTCTATCTCCCTTCTGATCAATGTTTATAAACAATTATTATACAGTATTTATAAACAATGACACTTTTTATATCTCTCTATATCTCTTTATATCTCTCTATATCTTTTTATATCTCTCTATCTCCCCTCTGATAAATGTTTATAAACAATGTTACTTTGTATCTCTCTCTCTCCCCTCTGATAAATGTTTATTAAAAAATTACACTTTATTTCTCTCTATCTCCCCTCTGATAAATGTTTATAAACAATGTTACTTTGTATCTCTCTATCTCCCCTCTGATCAATGTTTATAAACAATTATTATACAGTATTTATAAACAATGACACTTTATATCTCTCTATATCTCTTTATATCTCTCTATCTCCCCTCTGATAAATGTTTATAAAAAAAATTACACTTTGTATCTCTCTATCTCCCTTCTGATCAATGTTTATAAACAATCACACTTTATACCTCTCTATCTCCCCTCTGATAAATGTTTATAAACAATGTGTTCTTTGTACCTCTCTATGGCTCGGGTCACACTGCCGTGACTTGGGATCTAATTTGTGAGACCCCGTCGCAAGACATGTGAAATCCCATGTTAGCCAATGAGAGCCGTCTTAATTAGCATTACTTAAGTCGCTCCAACTTTAGAAAAGGTTCCTATACTACTTCAAGGCGACTTCTATCCGACTTGTGCCCATAGACTATAATAGTCGCCTCCAAGTCGGATCCTCATCTATATTCATGTGATTTAGAGCTGAAATTACAGGAAAGATTACCCAGGCATTCCCTTAAAGTTGCTTCAGAGTTGCTTCAAAGTAGTACTCAAGTCGCCTGGCAAAGTCGCACTGCAAGTCGTGCATCTTACAGGTAGTAGTAGTGTGAACCGAGACTATCACCTGTCTAAACAATGTTTATAAACAATGTTACTTTGTATCTCCCTATCTGAACGATGTTTATAAACAAAGTTACTTTGCATTTCTCTAGCTCCCATCTGAACACTGTTTATATAAACATTGTGTCAAGGTTTGTTTTTTTTAAGGCTTCTGTAATTATACAACAATTTCCAACCACCATTTTGACAATATGGAATTGCCAGCAAGTGTGAACACCAGAAAGACAAGACATACTACACACGCCCTATGTACTTTAAGTTTTTCTGGGCATGTGTAGCACATCCGCTGTCTACAGCTGATTAATATACATTGTGTTAATTTAAATGGACCTCTTGGCTGTGGTGTTCAATCTGTTTCAACATCCTAGCAAGGTGAACATGAGCTTCTTTCTACACTTGATTATCATGTTGGCACCCGTGTAACATATGTGGGTAGGCAAAAGGGTGGGCTTCAGCGTTCACATGCCACACATATGCATCACTGGACAGCTGATGTTTCTGTGCTGAGAGCGCGCTCACTGCAAACTCCCAGACAGGGGCGTATTTACCACAAGGCAAACAAGGCACTTGCCTAGGGAGGCTTTTTTCAGGGGGGCAGCACCTTCCCCCACCCAGAAGAAGGGATAAAAGAAGGGACATGTGCCATAGGAACTAGGTGGGATCCGAGAGAGGCTGCGGGCTGCTTGATGGTGTATGTAGAGCCTGACTTCCGTTCCCGGGGATGTACAGAGTTGTGAAGATGAGTGTCTTTTTTTTCTCTCTATTGCTGGGGGGGGGGGGGTGGTAGTGGAAAGCTCTCCCAGGTGGGGGGCAGGGGTGTTGTTGGTCAATGTCAGGCTCTCTCCATAGGAGGGAGAAGGTAGGAGGGGTGTTGGTCAGTGTCTGTGGGGGGGGTGTTGGTCGGTGTCTGTGGGGGGGGTGTTGGTCGGTGTCTGTGGGGGCAGATGATTTTTGTGTTGCGTAGGGCAGCACAAAACTGAAATACACCGCAGAGACTGCTCTCAGACCGGCTCTCAATCATGTGACTACTGTGATAGCCATTTACAGTGGTCACATGATCACCAACCCTCCCCCCCCCCCCCCCCCCAGGCCTTCACAACCTTTTAAAGGATGCTGGGGTGGGTGGGAAGGGGTTAATGTACCTTCTCTAGCCTATGATTGAACTTTTCTGCCATATTTGTACATTATCTCCCTCTCATTTCCATTATCCCTCCAAAGCCGGTACTGACAAGTTTGCCGTATTGCAGCTTCTCAATCAATGGAAACTTTCATGTTTCCATGATGGATTATAAGGGATTACAGTCAGACACCTGGCATTGTCCTGGGCTGTTGGTGCCCCCCACCCCTTCATTTTGTGCCGACCCCCGCAGTGACATCATCCCAGGTGCCAATGCACCTGCCGCTGGCGTGACTGATGATCCTTAATGAGCGAAAGCCGTGATGTCATCGGTGTGAATCCCTGATTTTGAGACGGATTAGCACAGTGCTGGGATACTGACGGGATCCAACAGTGCAGAATTTTTAATCTTTATCTTACCCTGATTAGTATATACACGGCAAGAATATTAATGGGTTTCTATGGATTTCTGATACTTTTTAATGTTTAATATTTCTTGCTTCTCTAAGGCTAAATTATGGGAGGAACAATTGTATGAATCTTTTACCAATCCGTCATTCCTGCCTCATTCTTGTTTTCACCTCTGCTAACCTTTTCTCTCCATTTTCTGCTGTTATATTTTTTTTTTTTTTTTTTACCATTGCATCCATTTTGAAGGCTTTACCCCTCTCTGATAATTCCGTGCCAGAGCCTCCCCCCTGCGACCCACCTCCCGTTAACCCTCGCTTTGCTAAACCGCAGGACCCGCCCCCTCCTCCCGCGCAGCCTCCACCGACAAGACAGGTATGGCGCCTGGTGTTTGGTTATGAGTGAGCACTTAAATGTACTAGGTCATGGGGTGGGGGGGGGCAGAGTATTGGTTCTTCTATCAAAAATATGTTCTGCCAAAATAGAAATGGTGTCTTTCTTCAAACGAATTTGTAAAATTTTGGTAGAAGAAGACCGCGGCAAAGTTTTTAACATGGGCTTCAGAGGGAATATTGAGTTATGGCTTAGTTCCAGCTTTGGAGGGTTCAGAACTTCCATCATGTCTGTTGTCTGTGTCCTCATTGGTTATGAGTGAGCACTTAACTGTACTAGAGGTCATTGTTGGGGGGGGGGGGGATCAGGGGCAGAGTATTGATCCTCTGTCAAAAATATGTTCTGCCAAAATGTATAGAAATGGTGTCTTTCTTCAACCAAATCTGTAAAATTTTGGTAGAAGGAAACCGTGGCAAAGTTTTTAACATAGGCATCAGAGGAAATATTGAGTTATGGTTTAGCTCCAGCTTTGGAGGGTTCAGAACCTCCATCAGGTCTGTTGTCTGTTTCCTCATTGGGGAGTGTCATGAGGACACCCTCCTATCCCCTAAAACAGAGGGACGATCTTCCCAGTGGGACAGAAACACAAACCTACTGAATCTGGGATTGAAACGCTACGCCGAGAGTCGATCGTCCAGATATAAAAGGTATTCCAATAGGAGGCCAGATGAAGGACTTGGTCACATAGCCAACACATTTTGGGGGAAGAAATTGTCCAGCGTGTGAAGATGAGGAACAGCAGCTGGTTGGACGCTGGTTGAAGAACTCTACATCCAACACTTGTTTGGTAACAGTATTGCAAAAATAATATTTGTAATTCAGCATCATCTTCAAGCTCTGATAAAGGTGCATTCATTGCCCCGAAACGCGTTGCATCTGTGACAAAGTCTTTTATCTTTCTCATCTTGGAACCAATTTATAGCTGGGTGATTTACTCTCGGTTTTGGCACTTCAGTCTCAGATTCATCCAGTTACAAAGCAGGGGGAAACTGTGGAGAAGTGGCCAGCCCAGAATCCAGATACCCTGTCAAAACACAACTACAACACCATATTAGTGGAATATCCCTGGAGTTCTAGTGCAGGAACTCGATTTTTCCCAAAAAATAAAAACCTGACAGAAGTTTGAACCCAATACTAATAGGTGATCCTTAGTGTGCTAGTGCTACCCCTCCATTTTACCCAAGAAATAATAACCTGAGAGAGGTTCTAACCCAATACTAATAGGATATCCTTTGGGTTCTAGTGCTACCCCTCCATTTTATCCAAGAAATAATAACCTAAGAAAGGCTCTAACCCAGTACTAATAGGATATCCTTTGGGTTCTAGTGCTACCCCTCCATTTTAGCCAAGAAATAATAACCTGAGAGAGGATCTATCCCAATACCAATAGGCTATTCTTTTGGGTTCTACTGCTATCCCTCCATTTTACCCAAGAAATAATAACCTGAGAAAGGCTCTAACCCAGTACTAATAGGATATCCTTTTGGGTTCTAGTGCTACCCCTCCATTTTACCTAAGAAATAATACCCTGAGAGAGGATCTATCCCAATACCAATAGGATATCCTTTGGGTTCTAGTGCTATCCCTCCATTTTACCCAAGAAATAATAACATGAGAGAGGATCTAACCCAATACTCATAGCATATCTTTTGGGTTCTAGTGCTACCTCTCTATTTTCTGCCTAGATATAAAAACCTGTCAAAGGTTCTAACCCTTTCAGAACTAGTTGGGCTACAGAATTACTGCAAAGTCCCACAGCCTTTAGAAGTGGACACCTCCCAGATAGGAGGGGATGTTGAGTTTAGGGAAGAAGAATCGCCCCAAAATAAAACAACCTGAGAGAGGTTCTAACCCAATACTAAAAGGATATCCTTTGGGTTCTAGTGCTACCCCCTCTATTTTATCAAAAAAAATAACCTGATAGAGGTTCTAACCCAATGCTAATAGGATATCCTTTGGGTTCTAGTGCTACTCCTCCATTTTAGCCAAGAAATAATAACATGAGGGAGGTTCTAACCCGAAACTAATAGGATATCCTTTGGGTTCTAGTGCTACCTCTCTATTTTCCACCAAAAAATAAAAACCCGGCAAAGGTTCTAACCCTTTCAGAACTAGTTGGGCTACAGAATTACTGTAAAGTCCCACAGCCTTTAGAAGCGGACACCTCCCAGATAGGAGGGGACGTCGAGTTTAGGGGAGAAGAATCGCTGCATTAAATATAAGTTTCTCTTTGAAATGGGTGATCTTTATTCTAGTGATTGGCATGCAGTGCATGGTTTTTGGCATCCAGTGAGGACCCTACTTTTCATTCTCGGTGTTTACCAGTTTCAGGGAATAGCTAGGACTCCACCAGTGGTCAGACCACCGCCTTTGCCGGCCTTGGCCACTGCGGCTCCTGTGAACAGGCTGAGGGCTGCAGTGACCGTCCCCAGGGAGGCAGACCTACCTATGAGGAGGCAGTCAAGGGAAGAGGCCGAGCGCCCCCCTCCAGTCCAGCAGAAGGGGGAGACTCCCTCAGCTCCACCTGTCCCTCTGCTCTTCTACTGACCGGCATCTTGGAGCGTCTCCAACACATCGAAGAGAAGGCCCAGCAGGTGATAAAGCTGACCCATTCACATATTGGGCCAGGGCATGAGTAGTACATCTGTGGGTAAAAACAACCGACTGAGCCCATGCCTAACAACCAAATGGATGGCATTTAGTTTGCCAGTTTTTTTTTCCATTATCTTTTTTTAATCTTTTTCCATCTTAGTGCAGCTGGAGGATATATAGGAGATGGTTGTCACCCCATCATGGGAAGAGCCTGAACTAGGACCTTCATGATGGGATCACCAAGGATTATTTTAACCCTTTGCCATTGCCACCCCTGCCTTTTAAGGGGATCTAAATGCCGAGAGGATGAGGCAGGCAATGTGATCATGTGACCGATGTGACAACAGTCAAATGATTGGCAGCTCCTGATGCATCGGAAGCTGCTCCTCACAGCTTAGTCCTGAGCTGAGAACACCAAATATGGGGAACTTATTACATATGTCAACAATTGTGTCTTGATGAGTTCCATACCTCTTTTTCGCATCTTCTGAGTATAAACCATAGTTTCTGTAGTCTCTAATAATTGGTGGCCAGAATCCATGTGATCCTCAGGAGCAGGGTGTTTGTTATTGTGTAATCCCAACAGGGCCCTATCGGTTCACTTGAAGTGAATTTCAATGACAGGTCCACTTTGAGGGTATTTTTACCTAGGATAGTACTACTCTTGGCACATTCTTAACACGATACTCCACTAAATTTACAGCAAACCTAAAACAAAGATTTACTTTATGAGAAAGACTCACGAATAGTGTTCACCGTTGATGTATGTGAAAGTCACCACAGCTATGAAAAATTAAATACTTGACATTCAGGGAACTTTGCCCAATTGTTGGGTAAGTCGGCTATTTCGGTGAAGCAGACTCTTCATCTGATAGTCAATAATCAGATGTGTGTTGGGTAGAGTCCTTCCCGAAATTTGGATGGCATTAGACTGAATTTCATGGATTCAGATGGCCTGAGTCAAACCCAAATTTCTGTCTTATTTTTGGTAGTTTGGATTCCCAAAAGGCTTCTCTGAGAAAGGGACCATGGTGGCTACAAGGACAGTTCTGCCATATAACTGCTTTTCCTTGGTCACCTTTAGCTTGACTGCCAGTGCCTCCAGGCCCTTCTAGCGTAGAAAATAAAATGGGTAATCTTTAGGGAATCTTGGGAAATATTTTTGAAGGAAATGGCTCGGGATGTTTTTGGCCCCATCAACTTTTGAGGCTGCTAGGAGCTTCTCCAACCATTCATCACAATTTTGCATCAATTTCTGCTCTACACTGAACTTTTCTGGAGCCTTGTTTGGATTCCTGTTGACTTCAGTGGAACGTCTGGTAGGGAAATTATGAATTTCAGAGGTGTTATAAAAAGTTTAAATCCAGCCATAACTGAACTTTACTCCTTTGAAGTTTGCTCATCTCCAGTGGCGGATAATACTCTCTGTCGTGTGAATTATACACGTTTACGGACTTTTCCATACTGGGACATAGTCCACCTAAGCCCACCCAGTGACCAGTCAGGTCTACCAAACTCTGCCCATTTACTGGAGTGTCCTGGCAAACCCCAACCTCTGAAGACACAGGGACAGCCCACTCATTCTCCGCCCAGGTTACTGTAATAAATGCCTTATTGAATGACTGTGCAGAAACTCAAATGAGCATGTCACTGTGATCCCAGGACACAGCCCAGGACACAACATCACCAAGTGGAGCAGTGGTCTGCAGTGGCCGGATGTGGCCCTTTGCTTGCCTTTATCCGGCCCTTGGGGCATTATCCCCCCCCACTGTCCTCTATTCCTCCTACTGGCAATAATAATGGGGCACTAACCCTCTCACCGACACGAATGATGGAACACTATTCCTCTCACTGACAACAACGATAGAGCATTATTCCTCCCACTGACACCAACAATGGGCGCTATTCATCCTACTGACACCAACAATAGAGCACTATTCCTTACACTGACATCAACAATGGAGCATTATTCCTCCCATTGACACCAGTGATGGGGCACTATTCCTTCCACTGAGCTCCATAGAAAAAACAGCGCTGTTTTTTCTATGGAGCTTCTGGATTCATCTATCTGATGGTAACAGCAGCAGTGGTAACTCTCCTGGGTAATGCAATGCATCATTTACTGTGATCCTTTAGGTACTGGGCCTCCTCTTGCACTTCAGAATATCAGATTTACTAATACTTCCACTGACACCAAGAATGGCAACTATTCCTCCCACTGACACCAAGGATGGGGCACTATTCATCCCACTGACACCAGTGATGGAGCACTTTTCTTCCCACTGATACCAACAATGGAGCCCTGTTCCTTCAACTGACCCAAACACTATTTCTCCCAATGATGCCAAGGATGGGACAGTATTCCTCCCACTGACACCAATGATGGGGCATTATTCCTCCCACTGACACCAGTGATGGGGTAGAAAGAAATGGTCAGCAGCACACCGGAGGATAGATGAATATAGGGTGTATTTATTGATTCATAGGACACACAACTTAAGCACGAGATCGTGTGAAATGCGTTAATAGGTCCTGTATTCATTTCCTGGTGTTTTGTGTGTCCTGTGGATCAATAAATGCACACTATATTCATCTATCCTCCGGTGTGCGGCTGACCCTTCTTCCTATTGCATCATGTGTGGTGGTGAGCCAGAGCCTGCACCTGTTGTGGATGGATCTGGATTGTATGCCTGAGCGGTATACCTTTTGTTCTTTGGATTCAGCCAGTGATGGGACACTTTTCATCCCACTGACACCAATGATGGGACACTATTCATTTCACTGACACCAATGATGGGGCACTATTCATCCCACTGACACCAATGATGGGACACTATTCATCCCACTGACACTAATGATGGGACACTATTCATCCCACTGACACCAATGATGGGACACTATTCGTCCCACTGACACCAATGATGGGACACTATTCCTTCTACTAACACTAATGATAGGGGCACTATTCCTCCCACTGACACCAATGATGGGGCACTATTCCTCCCACTGACACCAATGATGGGGCACTATTCCTCCCACTGATACCAATGATGGGGCACTATTCCTCCCACTGATACCAAGGATGGGGCACTATTCCTCCCACTGACACCAATCATGGGGCACTATTCCTCCCACTGACACCAATAATGGACAGTATTCTGCCCACTGACACCAATAATGGGACAGTGTTCTGCCCACTGACACCAATGATGGGGCACTATTCCTCCCACTGACACCAATGATGGGGCACTATTCCTCCCACTGATACCAATGATGGGGCACTATTCCTCCCACTGATACCAAGGATGGGGCACTATTCCTCCCACTGACACCAATCATGGGGCACTATTCCTCCCACTGACACCAATAATGGGACAGTGTTCTGCCCACTGACACCAATAATGGGACAGTGTTCTGCCCACTGACACCAATGATGGGGCACTGTTCCTCCACCCAATACCAAAGATGAGGAACTGTTTATTCCGACTGACAGAAGGCCATTTTCTACTCCCACAGTTCTACCCGCTTCATGTTTGAAGGACAGTAAACTGGCCCTTTGTTCAGAAAGTTTGGAGACCCCTAAAGTAGACCAATGAAAGTGAGATCCGAGGAAGACTTTTTTCCAAAGTTCGGAATGTCTTCTTTTGTGATCTGTTCCTCCACCCAATACCAAAGATGGGGAACTGTTTACTTCGACTGACAGAAGGTCATTTTCTACTCCCACTGGCCACAGTTCTACCCCCTTAAAGTCTGAAGGACAGTAAAGTGGCCCTTTGTTCAGAAAGTTTGGAGACCCCTGAAGTAGACCAATGAAAGTGAGATCTGAGAAAGACTTTTTTCCAAAGGTCGGAAAGTCTTCATTTGTGATCCTGAGCACCGCCAACTACCTGGGGCTTCTTTTTCTGCAAAACAGCCCACCCACACCCCCCCCCCCCATCTTCTGGGTAGCCTTACTGAGCCAAAAACCGATGATGATATGGCAGAATGATTTGAACGATTTAACTGTTTAAGTAAAAACAATCAAAAATATCTCGGCTCTACAAACCCATCACAACTCTCACATACATGCGTGTGAACAGTATAGATCATTTCCATAAAGGTAATATTTTTTTGTTTTTTTAGGTTTACTGGTCCCTCGGCTATAATCTTTCGGCATGCGTTGACCCTTCCATGCACCATCAATGCTTCTCCACTAACCAGTAACGCTTTTTCCATAATATTCACAGAGGAAATGTTTAGAGTATTTCAGAAAAGCTCCCTCGCTGGAGAATGTTATATTCCGTATTTTTCTGGTGGTGGTAGTAGTAGTGGAACTACCACATCTGGACCCCTAGATGGAGCTGAGGAGCATAGGAAATACTTCTTTGTAAAAGATACAATGTAACAATTCTAGAGAACGCTAGAAGGAATTAGTAAAAATTGTTTATATATTTATTGGCCAATTCCATTGGTTAGGTTTACGTAACACGTATGTACAGTGAAGGAAATGCGTATTTGCTCCCCTGCTGATTTTAAATGTTCGCCCCCTCACAAAGAAATGATCGGTCTAAAAATCAAATGTTCGGTGTATTGTAACACTGAGAGACAGAATACAACAACAAATTCAGCAGAAATGCGTCTAACAAATGATGACTGATCTGCATGTTCATGAGGGAAATAAGGATTTGATCCCCTATCATTCAGCAGGATTTCTGGCTACTAGGTGTCTTTCATACAGGTAACAAGCTGGGATTAGAAGCAGTCACTTAAGGGAGTGCTGCTAATCTCATTGTGTTACCTGTATAAAAGACACCTGTCCACAGGAGCAATCAAACCATCAGATTCCAAACTCTCCACCATGGCAAAGACCAAAGAGCTGTCCAAGGATGTCAGGGACAAGATTGTAGACCTACACAAGGCTGGACTGGGCTACCAAACTATGGCCAAGCAGCTTGGTGAGAAGGTGACAACAGTTGGTGCAATCATTCACAAATGGAAGAAACACAAAACAAGTGTCAGTCTCCCTAGGTCTGGTGCACCATGCAAGATCTCACCTCGTGGAGTGTCAATGATCATGAGAAACAGTGAGGAATCATCCCAGAACTACACGTGAGGATCTTGTCAATGATCTCCAGGCAGCTGGGACCACAGTCACCAAGAAAACAATTGGAAATCCTGCAGTGCCCGCAAGGTCCCTCTGCTCAGGAAAGCACATGTCCAGCCCGTCTGAAGTCTGCCACTGAACATCTGAATGATGCAGAGGAGGACTGGTGGGAAGTGTTGTGGTCAGATGAGACCAAAATCGAACTCTTTGGCATCAACTCAACTCGCCGTGTTTGGAGGAGGAGGAATGCTGCCTGTGACCCCAAGAACACCATCCCAACTGTGAAACATGGTGGTGGAAACATTCTGCTTTGGGGGGGGTTTCTGCTAAAGGGACAGGACAACTGCACTGCATCAAAGGGACGATGGACGGGGCAATGTACCCTCAAATCTTGGGTGAGAACCTTCTTCCCTCAGCCAGGGCATTGCAAATGGGTCATGGATGGGTGTTCCAGCATGACAATGACCCAAAACACACGGCCAAGGTAACAAAGGAGTAGCTCAAGAAGAAGCAAATTAAGGTCCTGGAGTGGCCTAGCCAGTCTCCAGACCTTCATCCGATTGACAATATGTGCAGGGAGCTGAAAATTCGAGTTGCCAAATATCAGCCACCAAAACTTAATGACTTGGAGAGGATCTGCCAAGAGGAGTGGGCCAAAATCCCTCCTGAGATGTGTGCGAACCTGGGGGCCAACTCCAGGAAAATGTCTGACCTTTGTGATTGCCAACAAGGGATTTGCCACCAAGTACTAAGTCATGTTTTGTGAAGGGGATCAAATCCTTATTTCCCTCATGAACATGCAGATCAGTCATCATTTGTTAGACATGCATTTCTTTTGAAAGTTTTGTTGCTATTCTGTCTCTGTGTTACAATACACAGAACATTCGGTTTTTAGACCGATCATTTCTTTGTGAGTGGGCAAACATTCAAAATCACCCGGGGATCAAATACTTATTTCCTTCACTGTATTTCCTTTGCTCATCAACTCCATCTAGTGGCCATAATGCAGTATCTGCCGCCACTAATAAAGAACATTCGTTCAGAAAATAGCGTGTTGATGCTGTATTTGCACAGAACGAATGTAAATCCGGAGTCACTGAACCAATGGCTATGCGATTTTTGTTATAAATCGACCCCTTATTGAGGCCTTATTCACACCTGTGCATTCCCGTGTGCTTTTTTTTTCGTGTTTTTCACGCATTACCGTGAATCTTGAATGGGTTGCCCTATGTGCAACAAATGCCCCAAAGTGGCTCAGGAAACTTTCACGGAGCATCGGGCATTTTTAGTGCGCAACAAATGTGCGGTAAAACGTGCGTCTGCTACCTGTGCTCGGGGTACTATTAACGATTGATGGCACTGAAAGTGTGGCCCATGATTGCAGTGCGTTTGCAGTGCTTTTCAGAAACACGGAGCAAAAGCAACATTCTTGCGTGTTTTGTCGCACACTTAGGAAACACACAGGTGTGAATGCAGCCTTATGCAGGTCATAGACGGGTCGTTTATCGGCCAAATTTTTCGTCCGAAAGAATAATCAGCCGATATTCGCACCATTAGTGGGGCAAAACGTCGTCGGCCGATTTTCGCGGTTCCTTCTCGTTTCTTTTATTGGTCATGCTGGAAAATCTATGAAAAACGGCCATTTCTCGTAAGCATTGGTGGCAATAGAACGACCGACCGATTTCTCTTTTTTCGGCCGATAAATGACCCGTCTATGGCCTGCATTAGGTTGTCAGATATCAGGCTTGCATGTTAGTCCTTCTGTTACAAGGACCACAAGGGTAAGCGTGTGAAAATTTTATAATCAAAGTGGTTGTAAACCCTTCCAGATACCCAGTGAAGTGACTGGCCTCAGGTGATGCCCAGAGATGGAACAAATTCTCCTTCATAAGTTGTACCTGTTTATCTACCACCATTTAAAGTCCAGAAATAAATCTTGTCAAAGCTGTCAAAAAAAAGGGGCAGAGAGCTGAAATGACACTGCAGAGTTTAGGGAGAGCTGATTGTAGGGAATGGACACCCCCTTCCCTTTTACACAGCACACAGGAGCAGATCTGAGGCTGTCAACCACAGGCTGTGTGCCGGAGCTCCCTCCCCGTCACCTTTTTGCTCTTGGTGTCAGGAAATCATGTCAGAAGTGACTCATGCTGATAGCAGAAGAAGGAGGCAGCAGACAGAAATGACACTTAGTGCTCTGGACTGAGACAAGTGCACACCACAGAGGGATATGCTTTGTTCATATTTTATGTCTGAGGTTTACAACCACTTTTAAAATATCACTTTTGGGTGGACTGTCACTTGAACGGATTAGTAAGTTTGTCCCAGGGATCGATATTTATTCCCCAGTGATCACTGCTCCCCCCTGGCTGGCAGCGTGGCTTTAGTAAATAAGACCGTAGTGGCACTACGTTGGGTGATCTGCACTCTGCATGTCCCAAATCTTCACTTCTTTTCCTGAAAACTGGTGCAAAAGAAAAACATTGTTATCTGTATTAAAAAAAATTGACAAAACTGATTCATTTCAACTCGAGATGAGCGAAAAAAAAAATCATTATCTGTATTAAGAAAAAAATTTACATAACTGATTAATTTCAACTCGATATGAGCGAATCGATTCTCAAACCTGGCCATTGGTTGAACATTCGCAGCCGATCTGCGGACAATTGTGCAGTCCATCGATCACGGTGGCTCCTGAGTGGCTCAATTCTCCGCAGATCAGACAGGTTTATATAAAAAAAAAAAAAGACGAGTGTTCAGCTTTGCTTTCCACTGGGTCATCGCTATCCGCAAGGGCAGCGTATTTCTTTTGCATCGGTTCTGCGCCATCGTCTGTCTTTTCTGGTTTCATTTTTCTCTCTTCTTTTTTTCCCTCTCTCCATCCTCCTCCGGCAGAAAAGGGCTCAAGCTTTAGCCATCAGAGATTTCCATAAAAAGAACATTAGGGAGAAGGCGGCCCACTTGGCCTCCATGTTCGGCCCCTCGGACATCCCGCAGGTGAGTATTCTGGAGTGTTCTGCATGCCGCCATCAGTGTGATATATAATATATAGACAAGACAATTACCTGATTACCAGAAGGTCAGGTATGACCAGAATCATTGGTCGGGTTAGCCACAGGTTTGGATATTAGACGAGCGATTTGTTTCATTAGGAATCGAAATTCAGACTAAATTTTTATTATTTGGAGATTCGAATGTATCCAAATTTCTGAGCAACAATAGTAACAAATTTCAATTAACAGGAAATAAATGTAAACAAATGATCAAAATTCGAAAATTAATTACCGTATTTATTCGAGTATAACGCGCACACGTGTATAATGCGCACCCCTAATTTTCGATTAAAAATCGGTATAAAATTTTTGTTTCACTTTTTGAAGAACCAAAAATATGAAGAACACTGAATTGTGCAAAACAGCAAAACAGCAATGCTTACCGTAACGTGTGGGCAAGGCGAGGAAAGGAAATGAAGAGGCGACCATATGTTACAGCGGATAAGAATTCTCACCCCCCAGTGTATCTCGCCAGTTCGGGCCGCCCACTGTACGCGACGAGGGGACATAGAAAAAAAAAACCGATCCCCTGTTTTCGCCGCCCCTTAAAGGGGCGGGGCCGGCACAGGGGAAGTTTTTTTTTCTTCGCCCTCGCGTACAGTGAGCGCCTGCGCCCTCAATGGATCGGCCGCCACTGCGTCACCCCACCCCAGCCCTCGTTTATAACGCGCACCCAAACTTTGATTTCTTTTTTTGGTAGAAAATTTTGCGCGTTATACTCGAATAAATACGGTAATTTGAACTCGAAAATGAATTCGAATTCAAAATGGAAAGATGTTGCAATAAATACAGTAAGATATACAAGTGAAGGAAGGGGATGATTCCTACTTAGGCTGCTTTAGTTACCAGTCACAGAGCTGCGATTTAAAATTGCACAATTTGTGTGCAATTTCAGGGCAATTTCTAAAGACTTTATTGCTGCTTGTGAAGATTTTCAACAAATTCTTGCAATTTGCAGTTCAATTTCCATTATATTCTATGTATGTGAAATTGCAATAAAACCGCAAAAAAAAGTAACTTAGGGACCACTTTAGAAATCGCCCTGCAGCAAATCGCACGTGTTAAGACACTGACATTCATTAGATGCGATTTCAAGTGCAATTTCCATTCAATTTCAAATTGCACCGGTGTGACTGGACACTTATAGAATAGATTAGAAAAACATAGAATAAAATAGAAAATAAAAGAATAGAATGGACTAGAATAAAAAAATAGAATAGAAAATAAATAGAAAATAAATAAAATAAAATAGAAAATAAAAGAATAGAATGGAATAGAATAAAATAAAATAGAATAAAATAGAAAGTAAAAGAATAGAATGTAATGGAATAAAATAAAATAGAAAGTAAAAGAATAGAATGTAATGGAATAGAATAAAATCAAATAGAATATAAAAAAAATAGAATAAAATAGAACAGAAAAGAACAGAATGGAATAGAATAAAATAAAACAGAATAGAATAAAATAGAAAATAAAAGAATAAAATGGAATAAAATATAAAACAGAATAGAATACGAAAAACACAGAATAAAATAGAAATTAAAAGGCTAGAAAGAAGGCAATAGAATAAAATAACACAGATTAGAATAGCCATAACCAGCCATAATGTACCTGCATTGCATTGAGATGCACAGAGATCCAGTGATGATATCAATGGGTATAAAATAAAATATGTCAATATGTCATGAAAACAAACATTGATGGGGGGGGGGGGGGGACCAGGGAAGGCAAATTATTAGCAGAATAATTTACATCTTAAATTTGTAATCATTTATAATCCTGTTGTGTTGATGTTTTGTTGTATCGCTTCTGCTCTGCACAGGATAAGCTGTCCGCTCCTCGCTTACCTCACTTCTCCTCTAAAATTCCTTTTCTTTGATCTCCGAGTTCCTGACCTCTCTACTCCTCCTTCAACTGCCACTGACTCCGCCCCCTACAGCGCTCAGTCTAAAGAGGTAATGCAGCATGCCGGTGTGCAATATTACATTACTTAAAGTTTACCTGAAGTCAAAACGTTTTTTAAAATTTGCATGGAGTGAGGAAGGGTTTGGACCCCAGCGAGTTTTTTTTTTTTTTTTTTTTTTTTTTTTTCGGGGGGATTTGCTGTTCATGTGGGGAGTACCCCTCTCCCCCCAAAAAAAGTCGAGCACTAATCTGCATACTTACCCCCTAAGCATAAATCCCCCCCTCCTCCCAGTACAAATCCACCCCTCTACAGAAATCCTCTCTCTTTCAATATGCTCCCAGCACAAATCCTCCCCCCCTCCCAAAAAAAAACAAATTCCCTCTTCTACCACAAATCTTTTACCTCTCAAATATCACCTCTGAGCACCCCCCACTCCAAATCCCCCCTCTTCACAAATTCGCCACCCCCAAGCCTCATACTAACACAAATCTCCCCCCCAAGTTCCCCTCCCCACAAATTCCCTACCCCAAGCCCTCATACTAGCACAAATATCCCCCCCAGGTTCCCCTCCCCACAAATTCCCCACCCCCAAGCCCTCATACTAGCACAAATCTCCCCCCTCCAAGCTCCCCTTCTCAAAAATTCCCCACCCCCAAGCCCCCATACTAGCATACTCCAATTTCCCCTCCTAACACAACTATCCCTCAAACATTCCTTCTAGCACAACCCCCCCCCCCCCCCACTCCAAATCCCCCATCCACACACAAATTCCCCTCCCTCAAGCCCCCATACTAGGACTATTACTAACACAAGCCCCCCCCCCCCCCCGTTTTCTCCTCCTAGCACAAATACTCCTAAAACATCCCTTCTAGCACACACACACCACTCCAAATCCCCCCTCCTGCCTCAAATTCCCCTCCCCAGTCCCCCTCAACTAGCACATCCCCTCCCAGATTTCTCCTTCTAGCACAAATACCCCTCATTCATGCCCCCACAGATACACACACACCATATCACCTTTTCTAGCTCAAAACCCACAAATCCCCCCTCCCCCTTGCACAAATCCTCTTCCCCCCCCCCCCCCCCCCTCCAAACACAAATCCCTCCAAATCCCCATTCCTAGCACACCTCTCCAAATGTCCCCTTCTAGAAAACTTCCTACCCTCTGATCCCCCCCCCCCAAACACACACACACACAAAGCTCATTCCCCCTCCCAACACAAATCCCCTCCCCCCAATCTCCTCATCGTGCCCCCTCCCCACCTCACATGATACCCCGCCCACCCCTTGCCCCGACCCTGGTCACAAGCATTCTCGCCCCTTTGTGTATGTCAGCTAGTGGGCAACCTCCGAAATGCAGTTCATTGGCCCAGCAATTCATTGCCCTGAATTTTTCGTCTATGTCTCTTTGGGGACATGACTACTGGTGACCACTGTCTGGAGACGGAATGTAACAAGAAATCTGAAATTATTACAGTTGTCATTGGAACAGGAGGCAAGGAGAAATCTTCCAATGGGGGCACCAGTTCCAATGACAACCTTCTGACGACCTTCGTGTCTCCAAGAAAGGAATTTAAGGAAAATCTCCCCAATGGGACATAGACAAAAAAAATCACAGGAGCTTTTACCGTTCCCTACTTTATTTAAAAGGAAAAAAAGTTTTTGGCTACAGGCAGGCAAAATTAAAAAAACCTGATATTTCAGTTTGAGATATTCTTCATTTACATATATGAGACCTCCAAATTTTCCACCCATGCTGGCAGATATTTGTCATCTCAGATTTGCCCCGCTTTACACCCCTTGTTATATTCATGCTCCTGTCATCTCTGCTTTAATTTTGGTTTTGTTACTGTTTCTTTTTTGTATCATTGGATATAATTCTCCTCTGTTTCCTCTGCCCTCCACAGAATAGTCTCCTCTCTCCTGAGTTACCCCCTCTCTCCTCTCCGATCCCTTTCTATGACTCTCCTGCTTCATCTTCTCCTTCATCTCCATCTTCCGCTGTCTCCACCCACTGCGACGCTCAGTCTAAGAAGCAACTGCAGCATGTAAGTCCAGTTCTGGTTCTGCACGGAGTGACCATTTTTGGTTGATAACCTCATGAATGGGCGAACAGAAAAACAAAATCTGCATTACCAACACCCAGGGTGTTCCTTTCAAACATAGACATAATTTCTGGTCAAATAAATGCTACTTACCTTTTAGGTGAAAAAAGTAAGGAAATATTTTAAAGGGTAATTCCACCTAAATGTGATGTACAGAGGTGTGGGGTCTGATGAGTTCCCACCGTCGGTTCAGAAACGTAGACAATGTTTTCATGCCTATTCATGTTCCTATTCACCTTGTAGTGTTGGGTGTTCCTGCCCTTGGGTGTATCCATCCAATTTATAGTTTTGGGTATACCTGTCCACCTTTTAGTTTTGGGTGTTCCTACCTACCATGTAGTTTTGGGTATTCCTACCTACCATGTAGTTTTTGGTGTTACTTTCCACCTTGTAGTTTTGAGTATAACTGTCCAGCATGTAGTTTGGGGAGTTCTCGCCTACCTTGTAGTTTTGGGTACTCCTACTACCATGTAGTTTTAAGTGTTCTCACCCACTGTGCAGTTTTTGGTGTACCTGCCCCCCTTATATTTTTGGGAGATCCTACCCACTGTGTAATTTTGGAAGTTCCTACCCACCTCGTAGTTTTGGATGTTCTCACCCACCATGTAGTCTTAGGTGTTCCTGCCCATCGTCTAGTTTTGAGAGTTCTCACCCACCTTGTAGTTTTTGGTGTTCCTTTCTACCTTGTAGTCTTGGATGTTCTCACCCACCTTCTGCCCATCATGACAGTTTTGGGAGTTTATACCCACCTAGTGGTTTTAGGTGTTTTGCCCACCTTGTAGTTTTAGGTGTTCTTACCCATCTTGTAGTTTTGGGTGTTCTCCCCCACCTTTTAGTTTAGGGTGTCCTCACCCACCTTGTAGTTTTGAGTGTTCCTACCTACTATGTAGTTTTTGGTGTTACTTTCTACCTTGTAGTTTTGAGTATAACTGTCCAGCCTGTGTTTGGGGAGTTCTCACCCACCTTGTAGTTTTGGGTGCTCCTTCCTACCATGTCATTTCAAGTGTTCTCACCCACTACGCAGTTTTTGGTGTACCTAACCCCCTTATATTTTTGGGAGATCCTACCCACTATGTAATTTTGGAAGTTCCTACCTCGAAGTTTTGGATGTTCTCACCCACCATGTAGTCTTGGGTGTTTCTGCCCATCATCTAGTTTTGAGAGTTCCTACCCACCTTGTAGTTTTGAGTGTTCTCACCCACCTTGTAATTTTTGGTGTTCATTTCTACCTTGTAGTTTTTAGGGTGTTTCTGCCCTTGGGTGTTCCCATCCAACTTGTAGTCTTGGATGTTCTCATCCACCTTCTAGTTTTGGCTGTTTCTGCTCATCATGACAGTTTTGGGAGTTTCTACCCACCTAGTAGTTTTAGGTGTTCTTACCCATCTTGTAGTTTTGGGTGTCCTCACCCACCTTGTAGTTTTGAGTGTTCCTACCTACCATGTATTTTTTGGTGTTACTTTCTACCTTGTAGTTTTGAGTATAACTGTCCAGCCTGTGTTTGGGGAGTTCTCACCCACCTTGTAGTTTTGGGTGTTCCTTCCTACCATGTCATTTCAAGTGTTCTCACCCACTGCGCAGTTTTTGGTGTACCTACCCCCCTTATATTTTTGGGAGATACTACCCACTGTGTAATTTTGGAAGTTCCTACACACCTCATAGTTTTGGATGTTCTCACCCACCATGTAGTCTTAGGTGTTCCTGCCCATCCTGTAGTTTTGAGTGTTCTCACCCACCTTGTAATTTTTGGTGTGCCTTTTCTACCTTGTAGTTTTGGGTGTACCTGTCCACCTTGTAGTTTAGGGTGTTTCTTCCCTTGGGTGTTCCCATCCAACTTGTAGTCTTGGATGTTTTCACCCACCTTCTAGTTTTGGGTGTTTCTGCCCATTGTCATAACAGTTTTGGGAGTTTCTAACCATCTTGTAGTTTTAGGTGTTCTTACCCATCTTGTAGTTTTGGGTGTTCTCTCCCACCTTTTAGTTTTGGGTATTCTTACCCACCTTGTAGTTTTGAATGTTCCTACCTACCATGTTGTTTTTGGTGTTACTTTCCACCTTGTAGTTTTGAGTATAATTGTCCAGCCTGTAGTTTGGGGAGTTCTCACCCCACCTTGTAGTTTTGGGTGCTCCTTCCTACCATGTAGTTTTAAGTGTTCTCACCCACTGTGCAGTTTTTGGTGTACCTGCCCCTTATATTTTTGGGAGATCCTACCCACTGTGTAATTTTGGAAGTTCCTACCCACCTCGTAGTTTTGGATGTTCTCACCCACCATGTAGTCTTAGGTGTTCCTGCCCATCGTCTAGTTTTGAGAGTTCCTACCCATCTTGTAGTTTTGGGTGTTCTCACCCACCTTGTAGTTTTGAATGTTCCTACCTACCATGTAGTTTTTGGTGTTACTTTCCACCTTGTAGTTTTGAGTATAATTGTCCAGCCTGTAGTTTGGGGAGTTCTCACCTACCTTGTAGTTCTGGGTGCTCCTTCCTACGATGTAGTTTTATGTGTTCTCACCCACTGTGCAATTTTTGGTGTTCCTGTACACCTTATATTTCTGGGAGTGCCTACCCTACTATGTAATTTTGGAAATTCCTACTCACCTTTTAGTTTTGGGTGTTCTCACCCACCTTGTAGTTTTGGGTGTTCTCACCCACCTTGTAGTTTTAGGTGTTCTGCCCCACTGTCAAGTTTTGGGTGTTCTTACCCACATTGTAGTTTCAAGTGTTTTCACCCACACAATAGTTTTGGGTGTTCCTGCCTACCCTATAGTTTAGGGTGTTCCTGCCCACCTTGTGGTTTAGGGTGCTCCTACGCTTAGGTGCACTCATCCAACTATTATTTTTCGGTGCTCCTGCCCATCTTGTACTTTTGGGTGTTCTCATCCACCTGGTAGTTTTGGGAGTTTCTACCCACCTTGTAGTTTTAGGTGTTCTCACCCGCCTGATAGTTTTAGGTGTTCCTGCCCATCGTCTAGTTTTTGGAGTTCCTACCAACCTTGTAGTTTCGAGTGTTTTCACCCACCTTGTACTTTTGTGTGTTCCTGCTTACCCTATAATTTAGGGTGTTCCTGCCCACCTTGTAGATTAGGGTGCTCCTGCCCTTGGGTGCATCCATCCAACTTTTATTTTTGGATGTTCCTGCCCCTCTTGTACTTTTGGGTGTTCTCATCCACCTGGTAGTTTTAGGTGTTTTTGCCTATCATCTAGTTTTGGGAGTTCCTACCCACATTGTAGTTTGAGTGTTCTCACCCACCTTGTAGTTTTGGATGTTCCTGCCTACCCTATAGTTTAGGGTGTTCCTGGCCACCTTGTAGTTTAGGTGCTCCTGCCCTTGGGTGCACCCATCCAAATTTTATTTTTGGGTGTCCCTACCCATCTTGTACTTTTTGGGTGTTCTCATCCACCTGGTAGTTTTTAGAGTTTCTAACCACCTTGTAATTTTAGGTGTTCTTACCCACTTTGTAGTTTTGGGCGTTCTCACCCACCTTTTAGTTTCTGGTGTTCCTGCCCACCTTGTGGTTTTGGGTGTTCTCACCAACCTTGTAGTTTTGAGTGTTCCTTTCCATCTTATAGTTTTGGGTATAACTGTCCAGCTTGTAGTTTGGGGTGTTCTAACCTACCTTGCAATTTTGGGAGTTCCTACCTACCATGTAGTTTTGGGTGTTCTCATCCACCTTGCACTTTTGGGTGTTACTGTCCACCTTGGTAATTAAAATTCGTTCCTATAAACACAAAAAAAAAAGAAGCCAGTGGTGCTCTATAAACCCCAATGCAAATGAAAATGTACTATTCCGGACATGCAATATAAGTCCTCCTCTACAATTAAGCCCATTTATGGGTGAAATGTTCATTCCAGGAGCTTTCAGGGAAAGGTTTGAACTTCTGACAATGTTTCCACTTTTTGTCTTCCTCTCCCAGATGCTCCCCCAATATAATGGCGTCACAGGGATGTAAAATCTCTCCAGTGGGGTCATAGAAAACAAAAAACACTGATAAAAAATGTAACTCTTCCCAATTCTTTCCATTTAAAATGTTTTTGGAGTAAGGCTTTAAATAAATTATTTTACCTTTTTTTATAGTTATATTTTTCTATTTTACTGGCAATAATTAAAGCCCTTTGGAGTTGCCTTGTGCTGCTCCTTACCTAAAGACATCAGTGGAGGAAGATTCTCCCAGAGAAAATATGTGTTTGTTATGTAAGGGAAATATCTTCACACAAATTCCACATTGTATTCAGAAGAACACAAATACCCTTTGGCAGTTGTTTATCTGTCTGCATGTCTGTCTGTATGTATCTGTTCATCTGTCTTGAAAACCCAGGAGACATATATCAGCAGAGAGATAAAAAGAGAAAATATCAAAGGATAGATGGATGGATAGATAGATAGATAGATATGGATAGATGGATGGATGGATATATGGATGGATGGATATATGGATGGATGGATGGATATGGATGGATATGGATGGATGGATATGGATTGATTGATAGATATAGATAGACAGACAGAGAGATATAGATAGAGATATTGATTGATTGATTGATTGATTGATATATAGATAGACAGACAGAGAGATATAGATAGAGATATTGATTGATTGATAGATATAGATAGACAGACAGAGAGACAGACAGAGAGATAGAGATATTGATTGATTGATAGATACAGATAGACAGACAGAGAGACAGACAGAGAGATATAGATAGAGATGATTGATTGATTGATAGATATAGATAGACAGACAGAGAGACAGACAGAGAGATATAGATAGAGATATTGATTGATTGATAGATATAGATAGACAGACAGAGAGATATAGATAGAGATATTGATTGATTGATAGATAGATATGGAGAGATATAGATAGAGAGATAGATAGAGAGATTGATTGATAGATAGATAGAGAGAGAGATAGAGATGGATGGATAGAT